ATGTCCTCAACATGCTTTCATCAATCTCTTCGAGACCGATTTCCTTGGTATCGTCCAGATGCGCAGCTTCTTATCCCACCAGATCGACGGTGTCCTCAAGAACAGGGGCGCATTGACAGATATGCAACACGAGACGATATACCACCATCTTGTTACTCCGGAACTGCTCAAGGCGCAGGATGTGCCCTCGAAGCAATCCCTTATGGAAGAGGTACGCCTGCATTCAACGCCAAGGTTCAAGCTATCTTCATTCTATGGGCTCAGGCAATTGTGCTCCTCATTGCAGGAACGGATATCAGTAGCAACACGATGTCCATTGGATTTTTCCACCTGTTGTCCAGCGAGACGGCGAAGAAGAAGTTGGCGGAAGAACTGGCGGCTGCGTGGCCTGACAAGGATGAAATGGCGGAGAAGCTGCCGCACTTGGTGAGCGCATCGGCCGCGGCAAACATATCGCGTCGTGCTCATCGATTTTCATATAATCTAGACAGCCGTCATCAAGGAATCTCTGCGAATGAGCATCGGGATCCCATTCTCCCTTCCGCGGCTCGTCAATGTCCCGACTGTGGTGGACGGTGTACATCTTCCTCCGGGGTATTGTCTCATCATGTCGTCTGCTGGATATGATATTGATATGTGATAGGTAATCATCAGGCAGGCGTCCTCCTTCGTTCTGAAGAACCCCGATAGATTTCCCGAGCCGAATGTCTTCAAACCGGAGCGATGGTTAGACCCCGATTCGCACGATATCTCGTGGTGTTTTCCAGAAGCCCGCGGCAGTGTCTTGGGATGAAGTACAAAAATCTGCTGTTACACGGCTTATGCGATGTACTGACCGTTCTTGTAGTCTGGCGTGGTGCGAGCTGTACCTCGTCTTCTCGCATATTATCAGAAAGTTCGAGATGGAGATACATGATACCAAGTTCGTCGATGTTGTTGACTCTTTTGAATCTGTGTTGATGACTGAATGTAGGGCTGAAGACATACAATTCCGTGTTCATGCTGTTCCCATATTCCGAGGTAAACCTCTTCATGCCACGGCTGGTTTAACAAATATCACATTGTCTGTAACACCAAACGACTCTGGCGTGGACATTAGCGAACTCGCATCCGTCTGCAGAGGTATGCTAGGTATGGCGGCGTGCCCTACATACCAAACCTACGGTATACCCGCACAAACGACCGGCCCAAGGGTGCCAGATCACAAGAAGATGGATCTAAATACAGACCCTCCCAAGACTGGCAACTGCGATCACGTGTTGCGGTGTTTGAAAGCCCTCACTCCCAATCGCGCCAACAGCAACTGGCAATGCTACGCCTACGACGCCCAGAAAAGGTCCGTTTGGAATGCCGTCGTCTCAAGGCCTAACCGCTTCCATCGCTCCTTGTTGAACACTGTTGATCTGAAGCGTTACATAAAGCATGTTGATCAGATGTATTCACGTTGATTAGATCTTCCATCTCGCCAAACCATGAGTACCCAGCCTTTGTTTAATGCCATCCACCATCCGTCATGGCACCCTCATACTCTTGGATATTCTGCTCTCGCTCATAACACAGACTCTTACGACGACACGAGCGAGGACGAATCCTCCGGCTCTGATGTAGAGAGCTCCTCTGGATCGGAAGGTTACATGACTCCTTCGGAGTCGTCAGAGTTAGAAACGTGCCCCGTTCTGGATCTGTTTGTTGCATTTTCTTTCCTACCACATTCATCTCATCATGATTTCTCAGAACATTCGAGCTGTTCCCCGAAATCTATAGTTTCCTTTCCCCGCTGGACATCGTGTGCTGGGGTATGACAGCCAAAGTCTTCCAGCAATCCGTCACAGACTATTACGCGGCCAATCTCGCTCGCTTACTCGGTCGTTTCTTCGACACTCCAGAAGAAATCAGGACCTTCCGTGAGGTCCAACGCGACTATGGCATGTTCATTTCGGGCTCCAGTGGGGTCCAGTTCTTGGATAACATACACTTTCCCGGGTCAGATCTTGACCTATACGTTGAAAGCCGCCATGGACTTGCCATCGGCAGCTTCTTACTCGCTCTTGGATACGAGTATACCCCCAGGCCCACCCAGCCTGAGCAGTTTGACTATAGCCGTGGTGTACGATCATACTACACACATAGCGGCATAGCAGGTGTCTACACGTTTTGCCGTGGCGGACAGAAGGTTCAGTTAATCACCTCGAAAGGACCGCCGCTGGAAATTGTGTTTTTATTCCATTCCAGTACGTGTTCGAGAGTCTTCAACGAGTGCGCGTTCTGATTGTTATATCCGTAATAGCGCCTCCTATGAACATCATCACGTACAACCGCGTGTACTCACTGTATCCCAAAGCGACGTTCGAAGAGAGACGCGGACTTATCGTAACGCAGTCCCAGTCCAGGCCCGGTAGTGTCGAAAGCAACCAATACGGGCTGCAAAAGTACAGGGACCGTGGGTGGACGCTATCCAGTGTCACCGAGAATCACGCCCCCAAATCAGATTTCCGCCCAGGCCTCCGATGGGTCGGCGATGGGAGGTGTCTTTCCCTCCACCTCCCGCCAATCGAGGGAGCCGGTTTATTCGAAACCACCGAAGCCCCCTCATCAATTCCCACTCTCGAGCACAGTTCGTGGACTGTCAAGCCTAGTCGTCCCGGTGCGAATACCGTAGATTTCGACGTCCATGTCCTGAGCCTGGGTGATTTCCGGTATGCGTTTTCAGCTGCAACTCACCTTGGCCGCGTTATACAGTCGCCAGAGATGACAAGATCGTTACAATGGGCTACAGGCTGGTAAGTTGATTCACCCTCGCAGCTGGTTGCTAGAGTTGATCGATGACCGTTGGCATCGTAGCTCGTGGGATGACATATACAAAGTTGTCGCTCCTCAATTTCTTGCGCGTCAATCTGTCGAGCGTTTCCAAAACGCGACTCGGACGTATGAGTGGTTCGAGAGTGCTGGCACTAAACTCAGACTCATGGCCGAAGTCTTGGCCATGCTGGCTCGTCGGAGCGGCGAACATTCCGTTCGCGCTTGAGACGCCTGTTCCATAGCAATGAAAAGACGGTTGCGTCTGTTAATTGTAAGTACTGGTATCTTTAATGGCAGATATTGTCTTCCGGGTCGTGTCGCATTGGTATGGCGTTGCTCCTTCGGAGATGACAATCGTGCCCAAAAAAGGAGGATAAAGTGTTGAAACATGACTACTGTAGCGTTTCGACCGTAACTTCACAGCCTGTGACCCGTTATGGTCTGAAGTTACAGCGAACAGCTTCACAGACCCTTAAATTGCCTTATTTGGACAGTCCCACCTATGGCGGGACCTGAAATTTCCTTATTTGGAGGCTTGTGCCTGGCCAAAGTGGTCTGTGACCCGTTATGGTGTATATATAGCTTCACTTCAAAGACCTCCGTGACCCGTTATGTGAATTTGCGGTCGAAACGCTACAGTATGTGTTTGTGATGGTGATTTCTGCTCAGTTGTTGTAGCGCAGTGCATCCAAGCTAAGTTGTACCCTCCGAGGTCCAAGAGAGAGGAGAACATAAGCGGAAGTGAAATGAGCCCGAGATGCAACGTATCCCGGGGTTTTGGGGAGAGGTCTCTGCTTCCTGTGGAAAGCCGAGTGAGACTGCAGCCAGCTGAATGGAATGGAACCGGACGGTGAGGTGTGGACCACGCTGACTGCAGGCTCGAGCTGGAACGCACGAAAGCCAGCAAGCGGAGAATTCTGGTAAATGGAGAGTGGGTGTGGAAAAAGGCGACGACCGACGAGGCATGTACTGCGAGGATGGGGGAAAGGGGAGCACGAACAATGGGGAAACAACAGATTTGGTAATTATACATAGAGTGTACTATGTACTAGGTTATGCCCGTGGTTAGACGAGGTTAGACCCTCGTTCGCGGGTGGTTAGACCACACAGCACTAACCAGGACAATACCCTCGATTACGGGTATTGCGGCTATATGGGGCAACAATCAGAAGCTCAACCTTATTGTTCTCCCAGGCAGGGTATCACGACCGTGCCGGTTCCGTGCTTCACCAATGGATGTGCCGATGCATTCAGCAGATCTGAACAGTAGTTACTGCTCTGTAGTTCACACTCATGTTGTACAAGTAGTCAATTCCAGGCTCGGGCAGCCACAATCGATGTTATTCAGGTTCCAAGACTTGGTCACACCCTTGAAGACCACAATTCTCACAATCGAGGCTACAAAATCAACAATCGAGGCCAAAAAGAGCAGCAAAAGCCTCAATCATTCAGACAGGGGTTCAAAATACACAGTATGTACTCCTCGTCTAACCAGGAGGGTGATGTGACGGCGGCAGTACGCCAACCGCCTGCCAAATGTGGCGCTAACCATGATCGGAGTCACACCCGTGGTCACTAACCGGGTTGTGATACATACGGACAAGTAGGTTACCGCGAAATGGGATGTGTTCATCTGGTGCTCAGAGAAGCCGGCCCGCTAGGAGTGGCGCGGGAGCCGCTGCGCCACATCACGTGCTGGTATCCTAATAATTATTAACGGTAGGGTAGTGGAAACAACCTAGGTTAGAGTACCAAGAGGTTGTTTCCCGGTAAATTACCGGTTATTTACCGGTTTGTAACCTAAGTCTGTTGGAAGTAGGTTATTTACCTGCACGTGACATATCCACGTGATGTGTGGCGCACGGAAAAAGGTAGTATGCACTATATTCAGAGGCAAGCAAAGTTACTATTGCCATTAAAATCTATCTGACTCTGATGGGACCAAGGAAAGTGTGACATCTGGAGGGGAAAGACTGAAAACAGTTGACGGCTGCTGCCTAGCACTGCCCCGCAGGGACGTCACGTGAAAATATCACGTGCAGGTAAATAACCGTTTTTAACCGGTAAATAACCTGGACCTCTGGGAGGGTAGGTAAATAACGGTTATTTACCACCCCCGAGGTTATTTCCACGACCGGTTTCTTTACTGCGCCACGCCCGCCGGCGGCCGCGCCAAAAATGCAGTACAAATGTTTCGTCATTACACCGAAGGGGAGTCGAACCCCTGCCGCTTGCTCACCACTCGATGCCCACGAAGCATGGAAGGCAAGCATGATAACCGCTTCACCATCGGTGTTAACTCTTTGTTACAAGACAGTTCGACTACATGTTGTGTAGCACTCACATGTGGTAAGATCATGTCCAGTTAACACTTCTTCACGTTTCGCCACCATAGGTAAGTCCTATACTTGATACACATAGTTTACAGACTCCCGCAGCATTGAGACACTCCCTTGTACCGTTCATCATTCCGCCACTTCTTGTACAAGTACTTTCAACGGCCTCATTCGCCAGATTGGTACTCCGTGTTCGCGAAAGGCCATGTCTTCTTTCCTACATGATGCCGTCAACTTCTCGGCCTAGATATGATTCTATAGACTCACGTAGTTTCAAACAACTGCATATCAAACTTCCGCATCAGGTGCCCGAAGGTCAAGTAGAGTTGGCACCATGCCAAACTGCATCGTTGTCAGACCGACTCGGGCGAGAGTGGGAAACGCACTTCAGACCCAGACAGCTCCTCGGTCCTTTCGAAAACGCCACCAGGTACTTGTCGAGTTTCTGCGAATCCGGCTGCATCCACCTCTCAGGCTTGAAGGTCTCCGGATCGGGGAAAATATCGGGGTTCTTCAGGACAAACGGCTGACCAACGCCAACGATAGTCTAATTGAGTGTTCAGCCAAGCAGTCAAATACGAACGGGTTTATACGCACACCAGCAGGTACCGCCGTTCCGTCGATGATGGTCGGGGAAGTGGTCACCCGCATAAGAGGGATTGGAACGCCTATGCTTAGACGAAGTCCTTCCTTGATAACTCCAGTCTACAAGCCTTGAGCATTCTTCTTCCTTGGAAGAAACGACTGAACCTACAAGTAACGGCAACTTCTCGAGCATCTCATATGAAAATGGTGTATCCTTCTCCGGCCAAGCAGCTTTCAGCTCAGCTTTGAGTTTTTTCTTGACCAGTTCATTAGAGAGGAGGTGGAAGAACCCGACCGTCATAGCGTTACTCGAGGTGTCCGTACCTGCAATGAGAAGGAGTATGGCCTGTGCGAGTCCTCATAAATCAGTAAGTTAATCTGACAGCGAAGATAACAAACGAACTTCTTCTATCAACGCTTTCTTCGATGGAACTTGTCCCAGCTTGATCAACTCAGGTGTAATCAGGCGATGGTATATCGTCTCGTGGTCCGCCTCCCGTAAAATTTCTGGATTCTTCAAAATTCCATCGACCTGCGCCTCGAGAAACGCTTTCATGTAAGCGAGACCTCCGAGGTCAGGATTGATCATAACGCCCAGCCAATCCGGGATCTGATGTAGTACGCGGAGGATGGGGAAGTACCGGGTCGCCGTCATCACGGCTATTGCACCCTGCATAGAGTGTGGTATGCGATGGGCAAACCCGGCCGTGGCGAGCCCGTTGAAGGAGTGGGCGTAGGAGTAAGTCGTGATTATGTCCATAGCCAGACACTTGAAGCCTCGGAACAAGTTTACAGGTTCGGCGTGATGAGATCGCATACGATCCATCAACAAGTCGACCTACAAACGTATGTCAGAAACACGGCGAGCAGTTGGAGATGAACTCACCTTTTTCTGGACAACGTTCTCCAGCTTCAAGATTGCTCTTCTGGAAAAGAGCGGATTGAGTATATCCCGCCGCTTCTTATGCTCTTCGACGTCAGTGATACCTAGAGTCGAGTCCTCTACCCCGAAGCAGGCGTAAAAGGCTGGGTCTTTGGTAAATCCTGAATGTGGAGGGTAGATGGCGAAATAAGCTTCTGGGGAAGAAAAGTGTAGCTAAAGGCTAATGAGGTAGGACGAAAAAGCCCGACAGATATGGACATACTTCGTTTGGTGCTATTCTAACCACAGGGCCTACAACGACGCAGGTCAAATCGTGCCACACGCCAATTGAAGAGTGTACCATGTAACTTGTGGAGTTCAGCTAGGTGTGCTACGAGCATACCATCCTTCCAAGAGTCGAAATATCCTTGATAGAAGCCCGTAATAGCTGCGAGACGTGGTCCGGGAAAAGCCTTCAGCGGGTGAAGGTACAATCTGTAGAAGAGGACACAAAAAAGGCGAAAAAAGACAAGGAGGCCGACAATCTGGAGATAGGACAACTGCTTGAACGAGTCGCTAAACATGATGGTACGTTGAGGGCCATGGCAGCGATGGAGTTATGCTTCTTATCGCGAGGACCTGGGAAAGAAAGAAGCGATTCGGCTCCGAGGGTGGTTAACATAGTTCTTCTAGTAGGTCAGTTGACCGAAGTGAAATACACATTGACAGCCGTAATTGAGTATGGAGACAAGCTGCCCCGGGGAACGTGGTTGAATGTGAAGGCAAGAGCGGGTTTACCTTTGCAAAGTTTCCCATCGATTCCGTCGGTCATGGATTTTACATGTTCAAAACTCTAGGCACTCGTTAGTCCTCCTACATGTATTGAACGCAGACTCACTTAGTTGCGCCACCGACCCATCAATCCTTGCGCCGCTCGTTTCAGATAAATAATGGATAATACTCACAGCCTCCTGGTTGTGATTACGATAGTATCTCTACACTGGAGCAATGTACATCACTAGAACAACAAAAACTAGGTGTAATAAATTAAGCTAGGATCATAGGAAGGAATATCAGCGGCATTAATAAGTAAGAACTTAGTCCGATGTGTGGCGCAGAGTTGCCCGAGGTAGTCGCGCTGGCAGCCGCACTGGTCCCAGTGAAAGTAGACGATATAGAAAGAACGCGAATGAGCACTGAGGATAGTTACGTTTAAACTTTACACACCTGGTGGTCGTGGTAGAAGTAGAAGTAGCACCAGAACCAGAACCAGAACCAGAACCAGAACCTGCACCTGCACCCGAGCCGAATTCGACGAAGAAGAGTTGCCACCATTATCATCACTTCCATCGTCTCCATTGTCGGTGGATAGCAGGATGCTATCCGGAGTCACAGTAGTGCCGTCGCCAGTGCCGGCGGAGTTCTGGTACGCGCTGTCGGCGCTGAGAAGGGCCACCGACTTGGTCTCCCACCCGTTCGACTTCATGACGGGGAACGCATCCATGAAAGCCTGCACGGTGTCATCGGCGAGTTCGTGCTCGAGGATAATAAAACCGGGGCTCTTGGGCCTGCGTCTCGCTGTGAGGAGGCGTTGATCGGAGAAACATGTGGCTTACCGGTGATCCACTGGGTCATGGACGCGTTGATGGCCTGCATGGTCGTACCGTTGGTCGCCATGCTCCAATCTTCGGTACTGACAAACGGTTAGATAACTCTTGGTTCCAGATAATGACTTTCATTCCGAAGACCTGTTCGTTCGGTCTAATTTAATATCTGTCTGTCGAATTTAACAGATGGCAGCTCACCTCCTCTGCGATCGCCCTCACTCTGTTATCAGAGTCGCCGTAAGGAGGACGCCAGAACTTGAGCACATGGCCACCGGTCGAGTTGTGGATGATCTCCATCGTCCAACCAAGCTGCAACAAGCCAGAGAGGATCTCCACGAGGACATCAGGGCGGCACGTACCTGCGCAACCACCTGTTCATTAGTCTGAGTCGTCATGTACGGATGCGTGTATGTGTGCACGGCGATATCTCCGCCTTGCTCGAGAATAGCCAAAAATTGGTCCGGCTCATTGCGAATGCGCGAAGCACGGTGTTGTGAATATAGTCAGCCTCGTCCTCTGACGGTGTCTCATTTGTCGTCCGAAGTCTATGCAGGTGATGGGTATGGAAATAAAGGGACTCGTATTCGTCAAGACGAGACCGGTAGGCAGCTGTGCGGCAATTTGGACACTCCATAGGGCCAACCTCAGAACTGTATCGCTTTTTCGGCTGTTCAGTTTCGGGACAGAGTGCGCGATACAGAACTCACCTTCAACGTCGTGGTGGAGTGGTGGGAAGAGCCAAAAAAAGCGCGGTCAAGTCCACGTGACGTCATGTCACTCACCTTTAAGTTTTCGAAACGACAGTCATGATCTGACGCGAAGGACAGCGAGGAACTCTTGGCCGCGAGTGTATCGCATTGACGCGCTTATGTATTGGCGCATCAGATGCGAAAACCTCTATGGTGCTGCGTCGATAATTCCTCCAAGTGAAGGGTCACCTAGTCGCAAGACTTCAACTTCAACTTCTTGGATTATCTAGAACTCAGTCTGATTAGTGTAAGCACCGTTGCCGCTACGTCCTCCCAATATTAGAGGCAAGCGAGACGTGGCAAATCCAGTTTCGGACAATCAATCGCGATGTCTCGCGATGCGTTGATGTTCCCGCCAGGATCCATCTTTACTCTGTCTACTAAACCGAAGGTTTACCTATTCCCCTTATTCTCGTTGAGATGCTGATTCCTAGATATGGTGTTCCCTTTGCGCCAATTCCCACTGCCCCCGGAGCTCGTTGAGCTCGTCGTTTCCCATATTTGCCATGATATTGCCAGCCTGCGAGTTGCCATCCTCATCTGTCGCGCCTTTGTGCCTGTCTGCCGGACACACCTTTACGAGAAAATCACACTGCTCGATGTCATTGACGACCCCGGGCTTCGCAGTGGTCTATCGTACTATCCATCTCTAGCCGAGTATCCAGTTTTCACGGAGCAGTCCTTTTTGGGTCTTTTGAAAGAGACGCCCTCCCTTGGCCAACTGGTTAAGGAAGTGAGGATTTCCGGAAGCACGACATCCATAAAAGAGGAAAGCTACGTGGAGTCGAAGGAACTGCCTATCATTCTACCTCTCCTTCCCTCCCTAGCATCGATATCTTTCCAGAGAATCAGGCCGGGGCCTTGGATTCGGCAGGGCTGTGTCGTTAGACAGTTCCAGCCGCACATGCTCATGACCTCTCAACTAGCCAGCCTGGCGTCCAATCAATGGAGCTTTGTCACGTCAAGTTTCATCATGAAACCGTCGTTGACGATCTCTTCAGCAATTGCCATCGTTTAACCCATCTCGCCTTAGATGAAGTCAGCATCCTTCCCGCGCATGACGTCAACAACCCGCATTCTCTGAAGCGCTCGATGCTAAACGTATTTGGGAGAGCATCTTTCCAACGACACCCCCAGTGCCTGCGAATCGGGACGTGCCACCTCCTAAGTTGAAATCCTTCATCGTTGGGACTAGCGTCAGTCTCCCGCGCCTACCTTTCATTAACAATCAAGGAGTGCCCCACTTCGAATTGTCATCCGTGACCTCTTTAAAGCTGTACGGTCATCAGTACTGGCGATCAACACCCTACTACTGGGATACATTGATAAGCAACACCGCTTCAACGCTTCAAGCTTCAAGAGTTGATGATATCTGCGGAATTCTGTAGGTGCTTTTTCCTAGACTTCTACGGTGTATGCTCATACAACGATTCTGTAGTAGACAGTATACGCCGTCCGGGTTTATGGAATCTCTCCAGTCATGAGAGATTGCGTTGCCTCTCTTTGATTTTAATGAGTAATCAGACTCTGTCTGTATTGACACTTCCGGGTCATCTCGAGAAGCTAGCCTTCTTCGTTGGTGAGAAACGGCTCGCGTGGAACCATCTCGATGCGTATATCGACCGCCACCCAACGTCCGCATCACTTTCTCGCGTCGAAATACTCCTCCATCGCGCACATCATGGATGTTACAGACTCGCTTGCTGGAACGGCTGGGATCCGGTTACAGATGCAGAGTTCGAAGAGTGGAAGACGGAAGTGATAAGTGGCATGCCCCTCCTTCACGACCGTGGTCTGTTGAGCGTGCGGCAGTTCAAGAGGGATACAAATGACGAACCCTTACCATAAATTTAACTTTACCGTATTTCTCGTCGTTTACAAACTGAATAAAAATGCGTCCTCGCGTGTCAAAAGGATGAACGTGCATTGAGGATTGATCATTGCTTGGGAATCGGTAGGAAGACAGGTGCGCTAAGAGAAGCGTGACCCATTGGTGACCGACGCGTCAGAGATGCGTATTTAGAAGCCAAGTGACTCTGCTTCTTTACTCTTACCATCATCAGTGACGCTTTGGTATGGACGACGATAATAACACTCAGGACGACTCCATGCACGCGTCAGTAGTGCCCGAAACAAAACAACCGAGACTTAACGTCGCTGGCAGGGCTTTGTTGAAAGGTGAGTGCAGTCTCAATTTCGTAGACCTCACTCACGCCGAGTGACGCAGATTTCCTTCAAACTGTGTCCAGCGCTCCTACCGTCGCCCAGAAAGAGGAACTACTCGTCAAGATTTTGGCCTTGGGCAATGAACACTACAATATCGGCAAGGTCTCGAATTGGTTCGTGAAGGCTAGATACCGGCGCCATAAGGGTAACCGTACGTGGATATTCTACTTATTACGCTATTTTGACTTCGCCATTGGTTTTAGAATTCAATCTCACTGATCAGGCCGTCGAGACGCTCAAGTTCCTTCTTCATGTGAACCCAGACCCGACCGAAGACACGATGCGCGCATGGGCGGGTATTCTGGATGCTCAAGTCGAATCAGTTCGCTCTTGGGTTGCGCGATCACAGGAAGCACCCGAAAACCCGATAGGCCCTCCTTGCAATTCGTTACCGCCTCCGCCGCCCACCGTCTCTCAGACGCCGGCGCTGCGGGACTCTACTAATGCGCCGGGTACGCTGCTTCTCTGTTGAATCACTCGGAGATCTCAGTTTCTATGCAGAGCCTACTAATTACCTTGAGCTGTGGTTTCGTGAAACACCTTATCCGACAGACGATAATCTCAAGCTATGGGCGTCCAATCTCGGCCTCACATTCGAAGTTGTTCGCGAATGGGTGCATGCACAAAGCACTCCACCAGACTCCCGAGATCTATTCTTTGATTACAGCCAAGGATATACGCAGGACCATTTACCCTCGTCTCCAAATAAGAACTCGCATACGCAAACGGACGTGTTAGCAATGAACGGACCTTTCCCTCTTCCGCCCGCTCTCGTACTGCCGAAGGCTGTTCCCGCATGGCGAATCGTAGTACGTTGTTTGTTTTTAATCCAGTCTTTTTCGACTCAAGAGGCGTCTCTGAAGAAACTGCCTGTGAAACCTGCTGATCAAAACAGACGTCTTCTATTCGACATTGCTGAGAGAATGGATCTTGACGACCCGCCTACGACCCACGTTCTTTCTACTAGTCTATCCGAACCTGGACCTTGCGGTCACCCGCCGTCGGAACTACAGCCTCAGGAATCAAGTTCTAAAACTATGACCCGTGAACAATTTCAGAGTAGCTTTGGACCTATAGAGATCAAGATGAGGCGCGTTATGGACCAAGTGGGACAGGGCGCGTTGGAGGCAGAAGGCTGGGATAAAGGTCGGTTCCTTATTGATGTTTCTTCGCGATACCATATTAACGTGTTCTCTTGTAGCATTCGTTCCCGAACGATTTCAAGTTACCGCTTCCGCTTTGTGACCTTTAGACTTGTTCCTTTCGCATCGCTTTCTGCCGCTGTTGTGTTATTGTCTTCGCTTTCTCTAGTCACTGCCACCACCGCTTGTAATTCAGCTGTTGTATAATCATGATGCATGGTAATCCAAACTGCAACAGAGTCTTCGCAATTCTCATGCATCATTCCGCACCAATGCCTCCGAAGAGATTAAGTTACTGTGTACTTGCAATTCGACTGTAGGCGCCCACCACGAAGAGTGTGGCGCAACACTTCGCACGGCCGACTAGCTCAGTTGGTTAGAGCGTCGTGCTAATATCACCCATCTGTGGTATTGATTTGACGCGAAGGTCTTGGGTTCGACCCCCACGTTGGCCATAGAGTAACATGATGGTCTTTTTAATCTTTGTGGCGCAGTACTAGGGCTCCAACTGTTTCTGTTTGAAACGGTTTGAAAACAGTTTGTACCGTTTGTTTTTCCGTTTCCGTGTAGGTATCGTTGCAAACAGTAAACAGATGGTCATAAACCGTTTGAAATGGTATATCCGCACGTGACCCCAGCGCCGTCCGAATCGGTCCGATCGCGTTTTCAATAGCGACCACCACAATGAGTGGACACTTACTGTATTTGGCGCACAATGCACGGCAAATTCAACATCCTGTGGACCTTCACTGCTGCTATTGTTCTCTGCTTTTGTCAATAACACGCGTTGAAGGAGTATAAAGGCAGCCACCAATTCGAGCCCTAAGTGGCATCTTCTCCCATGTCGTCTCCTCCAGCAACTGTGGACCTTATCCAGCGACTTGTGACAAGTTTCACTACATTTTCTCAGAGTCTTCCCTCCTCTGTCCCGTTGGCTCAGCCAGATGATGAGATTTTTCGTGTAATGACCGAGGTCCAGGGCGATGGTGTTTGGAGCACCTTCAATCGACGTTTCGACATACTCTCTATGGAGCACAACCGCGACGATGATGGCAAACTTCGCAACATGCGCCGGGGACAGTATGGCCTAGATGCTGTTGCCAAGTACCTTTCCTCTATTTCCTGGTCGCAAGACATGCCTCTTGACCTCGTTCGAGACAAGATTAGACGTGTCTTTGATGCCATGAGATACCTCATGTATGTAGATTTATGTTACCATCTTGATGCTAGTACTGATTGATGCTTTGCAGAGTACAACACCACGATCAATTGTCTGCCGACACTGTGTTCCAGCCAAACTCGGCCTCACGTCTCAAATCCTCGACAGATCCGTTACCTATCAACAACTCGTCTCTACCTTCCGCGCCTTCCGCTCCTGAACCGTCTGCTCAACCTGCCGTCGAGGCGAAGACTCAGACAGTTACTTCAGCTCCATTAAAGCCTAGTACAAAGAAACGGCCGAAAGCGACCCGCGATCTCGAAACTATCTTGGATAACCGTAAGCTGCATTCAAAATATGCTGCAATGAGTTCCTGACAACTTTACTTAGGTGCGTTACCAGAAGATGATGACAACGACGGAACGTACCATGCTCGGAAACCGATTGTTACTGTCAATGGGCAACGGCGTGCTCCTTCGGAGTCGCCAGTCAGGTCATACTCTGTCGGAAGCAATGGCCTTGATATCGACATGGATTCTGACGATGATATGTCCGTTTCGGCATCCGCGCCAGGTCGCAAACGACACCGCGTTGTGCTGTCAGAAGACGACAATGCTTCCTCCGGTGATGAAGGAGCATTTTCAAAGCATAAGCCAGTACGCGACCTCTCTCAAACACAACACATTTAGAGACTAAATCTACAGTTTTTGTAGGTACGGCGACATCAACGAAAGAAGAAAAGAACAGCATCATCGCCGGTTGACCCGACACAAAACCTCAAGACTCGTGAAGTCATCGATATCTCTGATGGCGAGACTGACCAGCGCAACAAGCGTGGTCCCGCCAATAACTCGCGTCCTCATTTTCAGGAACCGGTCAAAACGAAGACTGGTGGTAAGCTTAGGTGGAGCTTCAAGTGCAAGCATGCTGGGTGTAATATGTACATTATTTCTCTTCGAAGACCTCCAACACTCGCTAACTCTCCTCTAGTAAAATCACCGTTGCACGCTGCCTGACCGCTGAGAACGCCATTTTCGACGACGAACCGAAGAAGCCATCTCTCGGAAACCTCGCAACTCATATTCGCAATGCTCATCCAGGAGCTGCGGCACCAGCAGATACACCCAACGCTGCCGCCGCCGCCGCCGCTGATGCCGATATCATGACGCGCTTCCTTCTCAATGGGAAGGAGAAGCTAGAGACCTCAACGAGTCATTTGCGAGTCAGACTCGCGATCCGTGACATGAGTACTCACATCAAAAACAGTTCTGCTCAGACTCGCGTCGGACTCGACTCGCGGTGACTCACGAGTCATCGCGAGTCTACTCGTGAGTACTCACCATGAGTCCGAGTCATCTCGGATACTCACGAGTACTCGCGAGTCCATACACCCCCAAGTATTCATGCCCAGCAAGCATCCCCAGGCAATAGCACGGGGACACTTAACTGTGCATGAGAGTAAGGTGGGGGTGATGGTAGTAGGAGAAGGAAGGTGACAGAGCGATGGTGGCGAGGGTGGTGGCAGTGATGAGGGTGGTGGTGGCGCAGATGGGTGGTGGATGTAGTAGATAAAGCAATAAAACTCACCATAGTGTTGACCTCTCCTGCATTGTTTGCCTCTGAGCCATTGTCCGCGCCCACATCCACATCCGCGCCCGCATCCATCCTTGTGCGGTGTCGTCGTCCATCCATGCGAGGCTGGTCCACGTCGTCTATCCGTGGTGTCGTCGTCTATCCGTGGTATCGTCGTCTATCCGTGGTGTTGTCGTCCGTTCTCGCGCGCTGTTGGCCGTCTCACGCGTTGTCGTCTGTTGGGCGCATTGCCGCCGTCCAGTCGTCATCCTGCTCTGCTGCTGTCATAAAGACAGCAGCAGCAGGCCCAGCACGGAGCCGGAGCCCAAATCCGCACCCCAGCAGCTGCCTGACAATCGTCAGAGCAGCAGGGGCGACAATCATCGCTCCCTGGGTGGTCGTGGTGGTGGCAGAAACAGAGAGAGACCACCCGATCAGACGCTTACGCGTCCTCTCGGATCTCGGCCCGGATCGCCGGATCGGGTGAGATATTCGCGGATGTCTCGTTCTCGAGACGTTGCAGACGGTTTGCTCTGCAAAAAATTTGTAAATTTAGTTTAAATACATATCTAAATATATGCGAGTCATTGTGTGATGACTCACCATCCGAAAAGCAATACTCAGACTCGTACCCGGACTCGCGAGTACGTGACTCGCGAGTCACACGAGTGCGATCGCCGAGGTGTCCGAGGCGAGTCGAGTCACCAGATGACTCGGTGACTCGGTGACTCGTTGAGGTCTCTAGGAGAAGCCAACACACGAGATCACTCAAGTTGGTTTCAATACAGTCTTCGCTTCCTGGATTCTTGAGGATAATCTTCCTTTTACTCTCGGAGAATCTAATGGTCTTGACCGTGTTCGACGGTATCTGAAGCTTTCTGTGAATCTTCCCAGCGATACTACGGTTCGCAATCGACTTGACAAGATTCACGGGAACCTCTCGGATAAGGTCTTCAAGGAAATTCAGGTATGGAGCATCAACTTGTATCCGATATCCACAGCTGAGATCCATGCTTGTAGGCGGTTGATTCGAAAATCGCGGCTGCATATGATGGGTGGACAACTCGCCAAATGACCTTCTCGTTCGGTGGTGGTATCCTGAACTGGATCAGTAAGGAATGGAAACTGATCGAACGGGTCATTGACTTCCATGCCATCCTTGAGAAGGAGCACCGGGGCGTATATGGTGGAATCGGTCTTGCCAAGGCACTTTCGGAATACGGAGTACTGTCCTATTTCGACCATAAGTTCATGTCACAGGTCACAAGGCCTCCGAATTTCCTTATCGGACACCGGAAAACGCCTCTGATCACTTATCGGGCGTGGGAAGGTCAAAAAATTTAAAATTTTGTGAACTTACGGTCGAAATACTACAGTACTAGAAAAGATAAGTGTGCCTTATGTATCTTGATCTGAAAACTGACGAATCTCATCTCTACCTCATAGCACTGACCATGGACAACGTCTCGTCGAATGAGGTTCTTGTCGAAACCTTACAAACTATCCTTCGTGATCACTATGACTCTCAGTTTGTTCCTGCCAACTCGTATATTCACTGTATCGATCACGTCACAAACCTGACGGTGCAGTCTATCCTCAGTTCCTTAGAAGAGGCTGAGGACCCCAATTGTGTTGATTACTTCCTGGAGAACAAGGCGCACTCTCGACATTACGACACCGAAAGCGATGAAGGATTACGAGACTTGGAGCGTGAGTTTGATGAGGAAACTGCTCTTCTTGAGAGGCAGAGCGTGCAGGAGACTCGGGCAGAAGAGGAGAATCCAGTGGCAGTAACTGCTTTACTCAAGGATGCAGATAGTTGGAGTCCTGTGAAGCGAGTATGTGATACCATCTTCGCATTCCGGTGTCTAAACTAAGTTGTTACATATAGGTTCGATTTACAGCGACGAAAATATGCTCATCCTCTCAGCGACGTGCATCATTTCGCCGGATCGCACGAAAACTGTATGGTGATATGAAAGCACCATCTGGAAAGAAGAAGGCGATGCTTATGGCCATTCGTGATGTTACAACTCGATGGAATTATACTCATGCTATGATTGAGCGTGCTACCCTGCTTCGTGAGGTACACCTCTCCACTACTATAACATCTACAGCACTGACAAGTAGTCCCATATTCTAGGCATTTGATCAATGGGTCTTCGAACGACCCGAGCTGCGAGTACTGTTGCTCTCACAGAAAGATTGGGACTTTCTGTCTAGAGCAAGGCACGAGTGTATACCCGGGTGCACCCGACACCCGTCCGGCAAATACTTGTGTCCGAGAAGCCGGACTTGCCACCCGCCAGCACACCCGGGTACCCACAAGTACTTGACCCGCGGGTCAAGTACTTGGCAAGTACTTGCCTCGCGGGTGTGCAAGTACTTGTCAAAAGTACTTGCATCTTGTGAGTGTTTTCGTGCCCGCCGACGACCCCCGAGCAATTGCGCGGGGCTCTCGACGTGCACGATACACTTGTCTGAAGCCCCGGTTACTTGCATGAGCAAGAACCGCAGCCAAACGAAGTGTAGTACGGGATGGGGTGGGGTGGGAGAGGAGGCAAGGAGAAAAGAGACAGCACGGGGTGAGATGATGGGGCAAAAAAATAGGCAACCTGTAATGGTGTAAGGTTAGAACACAAATAGAGCAGTGGATACGCACCGTTGGGCAACGTCGCGTCCACGATGCCATCGGGATAGCGCTGTCACACAGACGAGCGCCAA